CCTTGGTGCGGAGCAACTTCTCGGCGAACTTCTTAGCCATGAAGATCGGGGTGTTCACGGGGTTCTCGCTCCATCGGCGGCTGGACCTGGGTTAAAAAAATATGTATTAGAAAAATAGACTGTTGGGTGAATTGATCTGAAAAAAAAGGCAAAAAAAAGAAAACCTACAGGCCTGTGGTGAAGGCCAGCACTACCACTGTGAAAGCTATAGAAAGAGCGGCCTTTCAAAGCCTTTTTTTAATAATTTCTTTGGGTAGCTGCAGCAATCAAACTTGCAGGTTACCCACTACGACATAAATCATTGTGTAGTAGGCAAGGATTCACTATGCCATCCTTTTCGGAGAAGCGTGATAACACTGCACACTTGCAAGGAACATAGTGCAATATATTTGTGCAGTGGCTGACGACGATGAAGATTTATACCAGAAAAAGTAGTCATCACAAGACTGCGTTTCCGGGTACTGAATGGAAATTTCTACAAACACAAGTCTGCTCAGGCACCTTCGCCACTGTGCGTGTTTTGTGGGGAACTGGAAACAATAGATACTTTTTTTTTACCTGCAGACGATTGAACACAATACGAAAAGCCCTTTCAGAAATACATTTACCTGGTATTGGTATGAATTCATCTGTGCTTCCATTTCTGGGTTCTATAATGCCACAGTATGCGTGGCCGTCAGGGACTATAATAAGGAGACTAAGGGATTGACTAATTAATCTGTATTATTATCCTAACGTGTCTACAAGATTGCATACGCATATTATTCAATGTATTGCTCTATTTTAAGAATAAATTCATTTCTTTAAATAATTATATGCATTGCAGCAAGCACCACAATTTCCTAGGTCATCGGCAACCTTTCTTAAAATATCCATTACTCTAATTCTAAACAATATTTTATATCACCACGAAATTCTTGGCCAGTCCCCCACAGTGGCTATGAGCCTCAAACAATAGCGGAACAAAAACAACAACAGCTTTTGTAATCCTCACAAGCTCCCTCAGTTGGCATGCGCCACACTTAATAGCTGAAAAATATAAGGCTTTTGTGAAGGGTTGGAGCATTTGACGACCCTCAACTGCGCAGTTTGCGTTGTGTGACACCTGGTTGTTCTTTTGCTGTTCTGAAACGACTTATTACTCACATTGCCCCGCCGCGGTGGTCTAATTGCCAAGGTACTCGGCTGCTGACCCGCAGGTCGCGGGATCGAATCCCGGCTGCGACGGCTGCATTTCCGATGGAGGCGGAAATGTTGTAGGCCCGTGTGCTCAGATTTGGATGCACGTTAAAGAACCCCAGGTGGTCGAAATTTCCGGAGCCCTCCACTACGGCTCAGTAGTGGATGCCTCTCTCACAATCATATGGTGGTTTTGGGACGTGAAGCCCCACATATCAATCAATCAACCAATCAATCAACCAATCAATCAACCAATCAATCAACTAATCAACCAATCAATCAATCAATCAAGTTTTTTATATTTATGTCACAGTTACTACTGTACCGCTAAACCAGGACATATAACGTCCGCTATACCTTACTTGGCGTCATTATCGGTTCGTTTTTAGGAGCGAAGCTTCTTAGTACGTGGGTAGTTCCCTCCTCTGTAGTCATAGTAGTAGTAGTAGTATGTTGCCATCTCTAGTTTATGAGTTGCTGAATAGTTGACGTTGTGTGTATATGCCCTTGGGGAATAATATAGCTTGATGTCGTTAGTGGTTTTCACAGCATATCCTCGGAATGAATGATGCTGAGTGGGGCGGAGTGCCCGTATGATCTTCCTGGTTTTCATCCGTCCGTGCTTCCGTCCGTTCCCTATCCACACATCTGTCCTTCCTTCCATTCGTCCGTTTGTGCATCCGTGAGTCCGTTCGTCTTCACGTCGAGCCGTGAGCCCATTCCGCGCGTCCATCCGTCTGTCTGCGTGTCCTTCTGTCCGCGCTTCCCTCCGCCCTTCCGTTCGTGCTTCCGTCCGTCCGTCCGTCTGGACGCATGGACAGTTGAACGCTTCGCCCCAGTCATCATCATTCACTACGTGGATATGCTGGAATTTTCTTTGTTGATGCTGAAATTTCGAGGTGCCCGTATTTATCAGTTTTAGTTTTCGCGCGTTCCAATTAATGATGCAAGTCAAGGGTAACATATTTTATAAGTACCGGTCCTGAGTTACGTCCAGAAAAATTACTAATATATATTGGGAAAAAATTGCGCAGAAACCAGGAACATTATGGAATCTTTAAAAATAATGTATCTTATCAACGCATGTATGCTGCTGGCTCCGCGAACAGTCGAAACTTGAATGTACACAGTTGAGCGAAGTGTTCAAAAGTAGCTTAATAACGTTACCGAGACTCGATGTATCGAGGCCTCGGGATGGCATTATGTTCTCCCATAGTAGAGTACCAAGTACTCTAAATCGTTAACCACTTTTTCTAAACACAGATTGTCGTTATTGTATGTCTAAGAAGAAAATGCTCGGTTGAAATGTCATTGACCTCTGTGACAATATTTTTTTCTGAACAGGCCTTATATGCGCAAGGCAATGAAATGTTGTTGTGTTCGGTCGGCAAAGAACCAACAGTGTTGATCATTTGTGGTTATGGCCCACCGACCGACTGCAGGCGTATTTTTTTTTTTCAACAGGGCCTCATCAAGTGTCAGACCACCGGGACTGCTTTTAGCTCTCGTATAGGGGAGTACCTTGTAAAGCGTTACCCACTTTTTACAGACATGGGACCTGAAAGCACCAATCTGGACGGCTTGCTGCTCTTCCATAGTTGAGTACGAATAACTCGAAATCATTAAACACTTTTTCTAAATAGAAAACAAATGGGCCCCTATTACAATTACTACTCGACCCTTTGTCAGCTGCTTCTGGCACTCCTTTAGTTCTGTACAAAGTTCAACATAACTGGCCAAGTACAATACTGGCCAAGATTAACACGTGGTAAGTAGAACAATTATTGACCGACTTGAGCTCGTAGGTTATACAGTATTCGGTAGTGAAGCAGAACATGCGCAAATAAAGGTACTCAGAATGGCATTGGGTATCAGTCAAACAAAGAAGCGAGCTCGTAAATGTTCTTTCGTTTATTCGGTCGTCATTGTTTCTTTTTGTGCGCGTAGATATACCGGTGATCCCGACTGGCTCACGCAATAATAATAATAAAAATACGTTGTGTATTGCCTCCCAAAACCAAGATATCATTATGAGGATTGCAGTAGTTAAGGCCATTGGAAATTGTAACGGTCCGGTGCCCTTTAACGTACGCTGACAATGGCTGTATAATAATAATTGCTGGGATTGAACGTCCCAAAATCACCACGTGACTATGATAGACGTCGTAGTGGAGGGTTCCGGGAATGTCGACCACCTGGGGTTCTTCAACGTGCACACTAAGCACACGAGCCTCAAGCATTTTGGGGCCCGTGGGCTTAGATTTAGGTGCACGTTATCTCACAGTACATGTGCCTCTGCTATTTCGCCTCCACCTAAATACGACCGCTGTGACAGGGATCGAATCTGCGAAGGTCGGGCCAGTGGACGAGCACTGTAGCCACAGATCCACTAAGGCGGAAGTAACTCAACCAGTAACAAGTGTTACTGTACCTCGGTTTCTGTGATTGTTGAGGGCGGTCCTCTTGCGGAGCCTGTGGCTGCTGCTGCTTACTGTCGAGTTGATTAGCTTCCTGCATGGTTTCCATTTCGGACTTCTCGTGGTTCTCCGGTCCTTGGAGGGCTACCACCAGTTGATCTACTAGTTCCGGGTCGTACTCTCCCTCGGCTCCGTCGGGAAGCGGTGTGGGAGGGCACACGCTGTTGGTCTCACTGGCCGCCATGGACGCAACGAACCCGGGAGGCCTTAGCACCGACTGACCCTTGCTGCGATAATATACCGCGGAGATAAGTGGAGAGAGGAATATGATGTGCGTCTTTGCCGTCAAGACTTACGGGAGGGACCGTTCTGGATGAGGTGCCTAATAAATATATGTAATGCATCCATCCATCAAACCGTCGCTCGCCCGTCAGTAAGCTATCTCTATCTATCTATCTATCTATCTATCTATCTATCTATCTATCTATCTATCTATCTATCTATCTATCTATCTATCTATCTATCTATCTATCTATCTATCTATCTATCTATCTATCTATCTATCTATCTATCTATCTATCTATCTGTCTGTCTGTCTGTCTGTCTGTCTGTCTGTCTGTCTGTCTGTCTGTCCTTTCGTCTGTCTGTCCTTTCGTCTGTGTCTGTCTGTCTGTCTGTCTGTCCTTCTATCTATCCTGCTATCTTGCTGTCTGTCTGTCTGTCTGTCTGTCTGTCTGTCCGTCCGTCTGTCCTTTCGTCTGTGTCTGTCTGTCTGTCTGTCTGTCTGTCTGTCTGTCTGTCCGTCCGGCTGTCCTTTCGTCTGTGTCTGTCTGTCTGTCTGTCTTAGTTGAATACACGAGTACTAAATCACAAGCGCTACAGTGTACTTTACGTCGTGACTAAATACTTTAGTGCTATGCCGCACAAGGCGAATCGCGCGTGGTATCTAGTGGCATTACAGCATAACCCACCTAATCAAGATAGGAATGAGTGAATACGTGTCATACCTCAATGGAATTCTCAGACAATGATTTTTGCATTGATGACGCTCGAAAGTGCGCGTGTGCATTGAGAATTTTTACGCTATAAGACACCGAGTCATTCGACTCTTTTTCAGGAGTTCCGGCATGCCACATGTATAACTCTAAACTCTCTTTCGAGATCCTTTCACTCTGCTCAGAGAATTGTGAGTTAAACGTCTATTTCAAAAAGAACTAACGTGCCTCTTTTAAGACACTTATGTGCGATCAAGCAAAGACTCTCCTGTAAGTAGTTAAAGCATTCTCTCGTTAGAGTGAAGTGTGCACGGTCTTCCAGGGAAGAACGTACGGGTACTAGGGCGTGAAGACTAAATACCTCATGGTCATCCTGTTGAAGTGTAACTAATATTGATGACAATGATCATACTAGCAACGGTACACAATATTTTATTGACCATGCTGAGAAAGAAATCTAAAGTATGAATATGAATAGGTATTCGAACAAACAAGAACTTATGAACATATGCGTGTGAATGCACGAGAAAAGTGTCAGAGATATGGAGACAGACAAAATACAGTGGTGATAGCGCTTATTCGCAAATACATCACAGGTAAACAAACAAGCTAAAGCTAGGCGGATAGTCAAAAAAAGTTTCACACTTGTTAAAACTGAAAGTATTATTGTATTATAAATAGGATGAAAAAAAAGCGTACAACGTGGGGAAGTAACCAAAGAAAAAATGCACCCAAAAACTGCGACGCTTGAAACCGAACAGTTTTTGCGCATGCGACTTAAAATACAAACTGACCTAAGGGACTTGGGTCATATAAACATAGATTCAATGCATGTAAATAAGAATGTAACAGTGGCCTCAGCTATTCTTACCACATCGATATTCACGCATTAATCGTTGATTAACACCACTCGACTTATTCTAGAGTAGTAATAATACAAATACTGAGCAAAACTGTCCGTTTCGAGAACAGTGGAACGAAAGGGCGGTGAATTGGACATGTATGTGCATGTTCTCAGAAAGCCTGAAAAACACTAATATAAATTTATAGTGTTGCCAGAAATGTGAGAGGGAACACTGAATTCACGTGAATATTTGTATTGATATGAGTTATTGGTATCGATATTGAAGAAACCTAACGAATCTTGAGAGATACCTTTTTGAGTGAACATTAAGTGTGACCTTTAGAAAGTTATTTCAGTGGCCCCTCTGATATTGCTCACAACGCTCGCACATGACAGGCAAGGAAAATGAAGAATGCAGTACGTATAAATAAACATCTAATCCTGATTTTACAATAATCGCTCAGTAAATTACTCCTGAGAAATTATGCAGGTTGAGAGCACTCTTGCGGGAAACGCACTGAAGTATTAAAAAGCAGATCACAAAAAGTCACATGGCTGCTTTGCTTCAAGACGACCGGAATGTAAAAGCCATCGTCTTGTTGTTTTCACTCTACTCTACTTATCCTCAGCTATGGTCAGTGACGTCACGTGAACAGTCCCTGGAGTATGCAGTGACGTCATCGAGCCCTCCACTTTGTTGTATGGTCAGCTACGTTTTATAGTTAACAAATAGTTAACAGTACAACAGCTAGCTGTAGCTGCGAATAATGCTGTGAGTGGAAGCTGCAAATTTTTCAAGCAGTTGGCGTAAAATGACTTCACGTGAATAATACACCGCTTGAGTAATACAACAGAGTACGACGATAGAAAATTCGGATGTGCTATTGTATTATACTAGACATCGTTTAGACCTTGCCCCGTAGTCTTGGACAAAGCTGTAGTATGTGCCAACAGGCCTCTGTGGTACTACAGCAAATTTCTACAGCGAGTTTCAGACACATCTCTGCTACGACAATTCCTTGCCTGTCGTGACGATGCAATTCTCTGCGCTACTGAAAAAAATTGTTGCAGTAGTTCAGCTCTCTTTTATAACAGCACTCAAGCGACAGTATTCGTTTCTGTTGCCACGATAAAGCATGTCAGTTCCATTACAGAAAAGTCTGGCGCTGCATCAGGAACCTCAGTAACTACAGAAGAATCCTTTTTTACCAACAGCAACTTGTTATCGCCATGTGAGTTATGTTGTAGCTTTAACTGTGATTTATGGAGCCAGCGTTATCGCTCAGGCGACAGTGGCGTCGATGAGCGCGTTCGTCGTTAACGCTGAGGGCGTTGCGTACGTGTCCAAAGTGCGCGTCCCGATGTGGCTGGCGCTAGGGGGCGTTCCGGCCGCAGTTGTGACCCGCTGCAGCTGCAGGCCCTTGGCGGCAGCTTCGGAGGCCTGCTGGAGCAACTGTCGCATTGGGTTGACGGGCGTCTTCTCTGGTTCCTCATCGGTGAGCAGCTGCTTGGCCTCGCTGTGGAACTCCTTGCAGAAGAGTTCGTACTCGGCCGTTACTGAACTACCTGCAAGAGTGAAAGGACAGACAGAATTAGATCATCATCGTCATCATCATCATCATTATTTCCACCTGCATGACTACGCCTGTTGTGCAGGCTAAACGTCATTCCCACGTACCGCCAATCAACCCGGTCCTGTGCTTGCTGCTGTCACGTCGTACCCGCGAACTCCTCAATCTTACTTGCTCAACTAATTTTCTATCCCCCTTCGAGCATTCGTCTTCTATTTTGGAATACAGTCCGTTAGTATTATTGACCAGCGGTTATCTTGCCGGCGTGCTACATACCCCGTCCAAACCCATTCCCTATCAACTTGGCTTGTATTTGCGCGGAGCATATGAGATGATTGATTTGTGGGGTTTAACGTCCCAAAACCACCATTTGATTATGAGAGACGCCGTAGTGGAGGGCTCCGAAAATTTTGACCACCTGGGGTTCTTTAACGTGCACCCAAATCTGAGTACACGGGCCTACAACATTTCCGCCTCCATCGGAAATGCAGCCGCCGCAGCCGGGAATCGAACCCGCGACCTGCGGGTCAGCAGCCGAGTACCTTAGCCACTAGACCACCACGGTGGGGCAGCATATGAGAAGAAAAGGAGGGAAAGATGACAGAGACGTCTAGAAAGGTAGGCGCTAAACTTCCAACTGTTTATTTCATGCCCTTAGCATCCATGTTAAACATGCGTAAAAACACAACTCGTCTTGCACGTGGTGTCATTCCAAGAAACGTCATTTCTTTATCCGCAAGTGCGATTGATGGCGACCTCACAAGTTTCCCATATCTGCTATAGCTTCAGCTTCTTTAACTTCACGTGTCAGCTGATAACCAGACTGGGCGATGACGATGCAGCTGTACAGATAAGGAGAGCACCCACAACCATTGCACCGCTGAAAGTTTATTTCTTGCGTTGCAAGTCATGTTCACGTAGTCTATCATTGAGACACCGCTTATCGGTCTGTCTGTCCTATGTAGTACTTCCCAAGCGATAACAAAAACTTGCACACAACGCGACCCACACAATCTAGATATCTAACCGGGTGTCTCTTATCATAGACCAAGTGAATGATATTACATGGGCAAGTCTACTTGCAAAGCTCCCCTAGTTTCTTGGGGGTTGAAAACACTACGCGCACGTTAGCCCGCTGGACGACTTTCTTCAAGTTATGAGAGGTATATAGTGTGCATAAACGGTGTCACACCTATTCTGCTGCCCGAACACTCCAACACTTGTTACCCGAGTGTAATATCGCTAGGCGCGGCTGGGTGGCGTCGGCGGCAGTACGTTACGTCACACAATCTTCGCCCTTTTCTCATGGCGACCCGCAGTGATGTCATCGCTAGGCGAGGAGGTTTTGCCGGTTTGGCAGACGCGCTGTGTTGGGCTACAACTGCTTTGCTGTTAATGATTCAGCTTTTACTGGTACAGTCGAGCTCACCCATTGTCGCCGATGGACTGATATCTGGACCGAGTCTTTCACCGAGTCTTTCACCGAGACTTTCACCGAGTCTTTCCCCGAGTCTTTCCTCAAGTCTTTCCAGTGGCTGCACCGGGGTGCGGCAAACGTCCTCGCGTTTTTCGGGCAGAGAAGCCGAGGACGTCGCCGGTTTGGTCTTCTCACCTACAAAAGAAAGGACAAGATAGTGTTTAAAAAATAGTTCAAAAATTATTCCGCCATATTGAGATATCGACCGTATATACTAGCGGAATTAAAGAGGCACTGAAACAGAAATCAATTTTACTGTTACTAATAAATTACCGCTTGACAATTCCAAAATCACCGCGCTTTCTGCGAGAACACTCTCGGTGAGTGAGAAAACGCAGAAAAGTAAATTATGGTGGGTGACGCCATTTTGAAATTTGTGCACCAAACGCCGTTTCGTCATAAATTTTGACGTGGTTTACTAAGGTCTAAACGTAGCTCCCAATGGGTAAACATAAAACACAATGTCAGTTGATTGGGCCACAGACTTAAAATACCGAGCCGCGGGAAATTTCGTGAGCAAGTGTCAACAGGATCCGAACCTTCGACCTTCGAATACTTGTACTTTGCCAACAGCAAGTTACTTTCTCATCCAATTTTCTTTCTTCCCATTTACACCGCAACAATTACTTCTAATATTTTCTTTATACTTTCCTTGGTATCCTTGTTATATTTGTCTGGCAATTCTTATTGACAAGTACGTCTTAAAATTCGTGACGTCACGCGCGCAGACGGCGGCGCAAAATTTAAAAATGGTATCTTCACATTGATTTTCCCTTCTAATAATTACCTTTTTGTGAAATACCGGCACTGGAGTCAATAATGAACACTTTATATATCTAAACAAATTAATTGTTTCACTTTAGCATCCCTTTAGAGTTGCCTACCTTACGGTCTTCAGCATAAAGGGCTTTCATGTTCTCTGCCCAAGCAATTAATTGCTATCTAGCGTGAACTCCAGGAACGAAATACAATAAAAAGCGACAAACACAAGCTCTAACTTCCAGTTGAAAGTTATTGCCTGTGTGTGTCGCATTCTACTGTCGTTCGTCCCTGAAATTTGCACTATACAGCACTTCAACAGAGTACCAGCTAGCGCAAACAAGCATTATGCTATGAACATGGTATTCAATGTCTACGAGCCTCTGTATATGCGTGATGCAGTGCAGCGCGTTCGACATAACGGGCACGAACAGTATGTGACAACTCAGAAATGAGCAAGTACGGTATATGGAGCATGTCTCACTTCAAGTTTGCTGAAAAGTCACAGCTTTGCCGCAAAGGCGAAGCAATGAATGCGATAGCAACAAATCCGAAGGTCACGCGAAGAATGGCTAGCAGATCTAAACGTGCCCCGCGTTTCTCAAGCACACATGACGCATGAAACGTACTCACAGGCACAGATGAACGCGAATGAGCGTCTCGGTTGTTACTTCGCCGTGTCTGAAAAGCGCGCCCCTTTTCGCAAACGGAGGCTGTGCAACAATTGCAGTGACCTTTGTGCGCCCGGTAACTACAACGGAGTCGTTCCGGCGAAACCCAAAGGCTAGCCAAGACGTACGATTCTCCCCACTGCAAGATAAGGGCGCGTGATCGAACGTGCAACCCCCACCCCCTTACGTGTGGGAGATGAGAGCCGCCGCGTGCTCACTGTGCCATCTTGCTGATAATGCTTTTCCGCCTCCATCGGAAATGCAGCCGCCGCAGCCGGGATTTGAGCCCGCGACCTGCGGGTCGGCAGCCGAGTACCTTAGCTACTAGACCACCGCGGTGGGGCATTTTTCACATATATAGATACGTATACATATATGGTGCATGAAATCAACACCGACGTCCACGCCGCGGTGGCGAAATTGAGCTGAGAGTGTACATATAATTGCTATCGCAATAAAACAAGATGAATGTCACCCGCGGTGGTATCGTGCGTTACGGTGGTCGGCTGTTGACCGCAGGTCGCTTTTCGAATCTCGGCTGCGGCGGCCACACTTCCGAGCTGGCGTAACGTTAGAGGCCGGTGTTCGTTAATATGAGTCACGTTAAGGTACACCTCACTTCATGGTTGGAATTTGTGGAGCCTTCCACTAAGACACATTACGCCCCAGATACAACTGACTCATATGCCCGACAGGCGTCACGTATAGAGGGACGATATATCTTTCAAAGAAAAAGGAAAGAGATGAATACTCGAACGTATTCTTATATAGGCCAATGCTTTGATTGCGGGCGGCTGTCTAGTCAAGAGAGAGCCGGTGCCTTGTAGTTTTGTTTCGTGGCTATCTCGGCCTTATCGCGTTGTGACTAAACAGAACGAACCGTTCACGCTTGCTTGATCCCGGCGCATAGATAAGAGTCCCACTCGTCTTGATCACGTCGCACGCGCCCATAGTTACTCTGTATAAGGGCTGTATTGGCAGTCGAGGACGCCACTGGAAAGTTCCCGCTTCTGATAACAGGTATCGGCAATACAAGCACTTAGGTGTGGCCTGTGGCTAGGTGATGGACTCGAGGGCTTCTAACTTGTATACATACTACGTGTCCTGTCTGGACAATGAACAATTTGCCAGAAGGCTTGGCAATTTGCCTTGAACTATTAGCAGGGCTAACTTCATGTAGTGGGGAACGTGGGGGGCAACTGAACAAAATGCCGGTGGATATAGATTTAGCCGCACGATAAATGATTCCTGGTAATCAGCGGTTCCGCGGGTCGCCCGAAATTCTTTGAACTTTTTGCTTGTATCTGCTGTGATAGGAACCAATCCTACCATGAAGTATTTGAGACGAGTGTGTAAGGGCCTGTACACAATACCGAAATTTTCTTGTCACGCCTTTGACAGTCAATACGTTTCAAGAACTGACTCACAACGAGAAGAAAGGTACAAGTTTTTCATACGGAGGCCTGCTGTCATCGAGAGTGAAGCTACGGGCCAAGTTATACATTTTATCTATCTGTTTGCAGTGCAGTGATAAAAGCTGTCTTAGTTCTCTTAATATCCTTCCCTCCCAGCCAAGTCGCGAATTCAAGCCCGGCCACGGGGCACGGTCGCATTTCGCGGCAGGTGATATGGTAGAGACCCGTGTAACCTACGATACTGAGTGTATGTCAAAGAACACCAGTTGATCGAAATTTCTGGAGCCCTCCACTATGGCGTCTCTCATAATCATATCGTGGTTTTGGCACCGAAAACCTTAGATATTATCATTCTTCGCTCAGCTCTCTTACTTTGCCAGATTTTTTTAATTACCTAAGTTGCATACAAAATTGACCACTCTTCTCCCGACTTTCCAGCTATTTTGCAGTCTATACTGTAAAACGAGCGTCGAAGTTGCTAAGCCGATAGCTCGCTAAGCTATCTCTGCTGCGTGTAAGTCCCTTCCCTTCATTCCAGATAGCGCTGCAATTGCAGTGGGCTTGCGTCCAAAATGCGTTCGCCAATACTCGAAAGGAAAGCTAAAAAAAGCTAGCAGGAAAACAAGAAGGAAGCAAACTATTAGTTCATCTTCCCTCTTGGATTGTAATATCGAATGCCTTAGAATTGTGGTAGGCGCAGTCAAGACATTTGCAGATAGTTTACTATAATTTGTGCCTGAAAGGGACAGAAAGGCCTTTATCTCCACAGTAATAACTAAGTCGAGTTGCAACCATGAAAAACACTCCCTCAGAATATAATAATGGAGTCACATGGACACTTTCGATAGCGATCAGTGCCGATCCGGGTCTGATTTCTTGATATCGATGAACAAGTGCAACGCTGCTACACGGTGCAGTCTAACCCGGATTGAGTTTGGTGCAGAGCTCACCAAAATGACCACCCAGATTGCGATGCAAATCGCGATGAGAAGATTGCGATCGTCTGGATCCAGATCGGGTCTGATCGAGATCAGGAATCAGTCTGGAAGAGCACCTGATCCGGCTCGAGGAGAATTTAAGTCGAGTCCAGACAGTATCGGCCCCGATTGCAATTGAGGTGTCTGCGTCGTCGTGCTATTAGACTGGGTGAGTTGGCTCCGGTTCGCAGTTTAAAGCAGTGCGAAGGAGGAATGCAGAACACAGACATCAACACCAGACAATGCCTTCGACCGTATATCCCTGAACGCTCGTGCAGCTACAGCCACAGTTCTTGACAAGTGGTCCTCTTCAAGGCTTTAGAACGTGTATAGAGACGCTTCCTATGCTCTCACTTAATTGAAACAGGAGAGGAGGAAAATATATGTCGGTAATCGGTGATGGAAAACCCTGGAAGAGACAAGGGGGTATTGACATAAGCCGGCCTGCGAATCGGGAGACTAAAAGTAAATAGGACTTGAAGAAAATTTTAATGCTCCAGTGACAACCCAATGTTGAAGAATTTTGAATAGCTTAAAGCTTGAACTGATATATCGGCCTTATTTGAATGTTAGTTTTTGTAGCCTTACATGCCAACACCACAAGACGATTAGGAAGCATAACTAAGGAGATAGCATTATGCCTTTAGCTGAAGCAGAATCTTGAGTAGCTGAAAATCACGAGAACGTTTTTAGGCTGTGTTACGCAGGACCTTTCAGAGATATTTGAATGGGCGTTGGCCTAACGTTCTCCGCAATATTGTTGCCTTTGCGCCTCTTTATGAAGATAATAAAAAGATGTGATGCGTGAATGTCGGCTTGCGAAACACGGCGCATTAGACTATTTTCGATCAGGCTCACTATACAGCCATGAGTTACGACAGTCTTAGCTGATTAGATGTGGTGGTTAGAATCATAGTACATATCAACAAAATGACCTTGCCATAGATACTGTCACCTTTTGAAAAATTGTGGAATCTTTCAAACCACCGGAGGGCATCCGTGAGGATGTTTGCTCGACGCACGCCTAGAGTGAAGCCAACGGGACGGCTTTATGCTCTCCCATAGTAGAGTGCCTCGTACTCTAAATTCCTACCTCCCTTTTTCTACACAAACCACCGATATGATGAATGAAATTTACGCCCTCTAAAAGTGGCCCACGGGACGGCCTAGTTCTCTCCCATAGTAGAGTACCAAGCGCTCTAAATCGTTCACCAGTTTTTTCTAAACACCATTGCGTAGTACTAGGGATGGCTTACTGCTCTCCCACAGTTGAGTACCAAGTACTCAAAATTGTTAAACATTTTTTTCTAAACACAGATATCCGTGATCTGACGGCAGCTGATCGACTGCACTACAGCACTATAATACTGTCACGACCGAAGCTAAAGTGTTGCAAGTATTAGACCTAGACATCATCAGGCCATGGGCTGTGCCGTACATGTACGCACCTTCGGGAATCTTCGAGAGGATCTGATCGAACTTCTCCAGGTTCTGGTTGTTGACCTTGTACTTGTTGCCGCAGACGCGGCTTCTCGATGTCATGATCTTCAGCCTCCGAACTCCGAGGAAGCCTCCGACGAAGCCATCCCCGCTCGCTCCACGAGCGTCGGTGGAGACCCTGCGAGGCCCATGTCGCCCTTGCGGGGCCGTCGTGGACGGATCCTTGGGGGGCGTTGCTTGGCTCGTCTTTGTCTTGGAGCGCGTCTTAGCCTTGGCTTGGCTCCGACGGCTTCCCGCGAGAACTTTCCGCCACAGAGAGAACGCGTGCATTGACGGGTAGTGGTTAAAGCGACGTCTGGCACAGCAGTAGACGCCTGTTTGGCTGGCGTAACGTGATAACCGACGATTCTGTGCCTCTGAAGCAGGAGAATGATCCCCGTTGAGCGCCTAACAACGTACTTCTTCTTTGTCTCTTTATTATGCACCAAAGAAGGAAAGGGGCTGAATTCGAGCAGGCTCTCTTGTCTACGGGCAGTCTTTTAGCAAAACTTGTTAGTTCCGTCCACAGGACACCAGAACCGATCTGAAATGTTAGAACAAAGGAAGAAAGCAAGGAACTTAGCGAACAACGTTGAACTGCGTTACTGCTGTTAATTTAAAAAATAAAACACAAGCAAACACTATCAAGAAATGCGCTAAATACAAAGCCAATGCTCTGTATCACGTATGAGCTGTTGTCAGAGGTCCAGAAGAAAAAAAAAAGAAGACTCACCGGAAGAGCTGTTTCGGAGCCTTCGGAGTCGTTGGGCCGGTGCACTTTGGATATCAAGAAGCCGGTCCACCTAAGTTTAGCGAATCCCCAACGAACACCACAGTATCGATATTCTCACTCGAAATTATTCTGTTTTATTTTTAAAGACAGAAACGCACAACGGTCCTGTGCTTTTCAAGTTGTTACGTCACCTCTCAATCAAGCCAACGTCGTGTTCTAGACACCTCACAACAATACAGCCACGTCGTCTTCTTGCGGAACCAAAAGACAATGTACCAGTATCTCTCTACAATGCAGGCTATATGTCAAAGTTGGACTGGGTTTTTATTTTTTGAAAACTTTTCCGTCCGTCTAGACCGCTCGGCACCGATTGAG